TTTTTTTATTTCAAAAATCCACGATTTTGATTGGTTATCACCTCTTCGGAGATTTTCGTAATTTGTGTAACTAGAACGGTCGCTCCTGGAATATATCAGGGGCATTGCCCGATATGTCATATAGATCAGAAGGGCTGAATATTCTATAATTATCAGAGGGACATTTTCCCTTGGCGGCACTCATTTTACTATGATACCTTGATCTAATTAAATAAAAATGGTTAGCACCTAGTTTAATATAATTAAGCAAAAAAAAAAATTAGTTTGAACAATGTATATTTTACAGTCTGATCTGAATTGGTCAATTTTAACATCATTCGATTTAATAATCGAATGTTGTCAAAACCATTTGATTTTAACAGAACAGATAACGATGTTTTTTTTTTTAATTATTTTTGATAAACTTGGATTAAATATTATTATTGGTAGTCGTTTAGAGAAAATTCAACTAGATATAAAGATAAAGCTGCCTAAATTTTTTTTTTAAATTTTAAACATTTGGGGTTTCAGAATTAATGATCTGTCATCCGATTTCAGATATAATAAATGACATAGTTACGTTAAAATATGTGGTGATCCATAACTCTTATTTTCTTAAATTATAAACTTATATAATCGTTTGCCGATAGATATTTATCAAAAAAAAGTTAATTTATTACCATGTGCGCCTACTTAATTCCCTGATTCGGAATTTTAAAATAGAAATAGGATCTTTTAAACTCCCACTTATTTTCGAAATAGGTTAATTCTGAAGTCCCATTTTTCATCTCTTATTATAGATTACAAAACAATAAATTACCACTTTATTTTAATACTGATTTTGTAAATAAGCTGTAACGTCGATAACTATTCTCAAATTGAGAAAAATTAATTATACGAATTCGTAGAAAATTCGGATATGCAATTATTCGATCAAAATTTATATTTTATACAGGCGTACATACTGTTTAAGTGTTTGATCCCATCGTTGAGTTTATATAATACCGAAGAAACATTTAGAAAAATTTTCTTTGATAGATTGATATTCGAATAAATTTGTATAACAAAGATAGATGAGATTTGCAAAAAACTTTCAGTAAAAATATTCAGAAACGTTAAACGTTTAACAATCAAATTCGGTATTAATATTCTTATGAAATCCCCTTAAACGTTTACAGTAATAAATTTTTTGGTGGTTTCAATCTCTATTCCATCATCTGAATTCGGATACTTTTTTAGTAGGATTCACCTTCTAATAAAAGTTACACGTATATATATTTTTTAGTCGGTTCAACATTTACTGCGATTTGTTTTGATCATGACAGTTACTGGAATCAATACAATAGATCTAAGAAAATAAGATTACAGAAATCTTGAGTATATGGGATCCAAACATCAAGAAAGTAATAATTCAGTGGCTTGTCGAAACAAGTACAAGTAAAATGATATCTAATAGGTACCAATAGACATCCTTATTGTTGCCAGATTTTAATGTAAAAAGAGGTTAATAAAATATCAATAGACATCAATCGGAATAATATTATTCTGATTGATGCCTATTGATACCTTATTGAGCTCTTTTTGCGCCAAAATCTGGCAACAATAAGGATGTCTATTGGTTCCCTATTAAATATCATTTTATCTGAGAAGCCTAGTATATACTACCAACATATAGAGGATAAAATTATAAATAAGAAACTTATCATAGAGAGACAAAGTGTTTGTTGTCGTACAAATTTCATTCGTACAAAGCTAGCAGAGAAAAAACTATTGCAAATATGACGGTAGAAAATATTATTAATAATATTAATTTAACTTATTTTTGCTACGTAGTCACTAATATTTAAATTCTCGGCCGAGATTTATATATTTGTTACATAATCACTTGTCTTAATTTATTGTTATCGTTATTATGTTATTGATGATTTTAAGAGAAGGGATGATCGACACGAATTATAACTACGTACGTACGTATTATGTAACACCTTTTAAAGAACATAAAGAATACTTTTTATAATAGTCCTCCAATCACTATTCCAAAATCATGGGATAATATCCTGATCCGTATGTGAATAAGATTTCGTTTCCACCAATCCCAACGGGTCAGAATATTATAATTACCAATAATGAAAGTTGGTTTTAAAATTTTGACGAATTACTATTATATTTAAAATACTATTATATTTAAAATTAAAGTGACATTTGAAATATTGGTCGAAAACGTCTTATTTCCAAAATTCGGAAGAAATTAGATAGGGTCGTTGATCTTTTATTTTTCTATGTGTGGTAATATATCACAATATTAACTCTTCATCACTAGCATCCTTTATTGTAGCCGTTTTCAATATTATATATGGAGAAAATAATTTTCGACAAAGTCAATATATCCTTTCTTGCATTTCCTTTCAGATTTTTGCAATGAATATTTTCAAAAAAAGTTCCATGAAATTCTTATCGCATAAACCAAAAAAATGTAGTATTCCAAGATGTGCTATGCCCGCTTACATTGATGAAAATGGCTATGAATATCCAAATTGTGGCCAAACTTGCGGAAATGTCATTATTAAAAATTCTATAATTTCCAAATTAGATAAATGTATCCCATCTATAGAAGTCCTTCGTGAAAAGGATTTAAATTATAAAGAAATTCAAAAAGAATTTCTTAAATCGATGATTCACATTAAAATTATAGCTATCGTTCGTATTGAATCATCACAGGAAAAGCGTAAAATCGCAAAATCTGTTGAACAAAATCCTAAAAGAGCCAAACGTAGATTGTATTATGGAACTCGTGCAAGTTGTGATCCAAGAAAGATTTTGAAAAATAAGAAGGCTTGTTCAGATTCGAAATGTGGAATGTGTAGCATTATTAAATATGGAACAAAAGCTAAACTTTTACGCCGCGGAGAAAGTATGAATTATATATCGGCAAATCTGCGTAGTCTAATAATAATTCGGGTCAAAATTGTCGTTCATTTTGCTAAATTTTAAGTTATTTAACTCCAGTTCTAGTCAAGTGATCGACAATTTTGACTAAATTATAACTGATGGGTTCTTACATTTATTAGACAGCGCAAATCCGCCGATATAATTTTTTTATAATATAAAATTTCAAATACCATAATAACAAAAAAAATCTAATTTTAATCTTAGTGAAGTTTGCTAGCTTATCATCAATTGCTGCAACTAATGCATACAATCAAAAAATTCCACGCGAACGTCCGAGTACTATATTTATCATTGATGTTTTAACGACTAACGATACATCTTCCGATGTTATAGTTGTTGAACGGGACGCGGTATATATTTATATTTTTTTTTTTATCGTAATTTTTAATCATAATTTTTAATCGTAATTTTTAATCATAATTTTTAATCATAATTTTTAATCGTAATGTTTGAATGCAAACATCTTATACTTCTTGGCATTAAATTAATAGATAACGATTCCAAGATACCTTGTTCTATACGATCGTATTTGAACCGCACATAATAATATTGCCAATGCTGCTTCTATTTTATATATTTACCATTTAAATCTTCTACCTGGTTGATAATAAAGTTGATTAATTACTTCTTAATGCTTGATGAATTTTGTCAAATTTAATTTTCGTGTCAAGCCAGATACATGTTTGGATAATACGTTTATAAGAACCAAAAACAATATTTTAATAAATTTACAATAAAATATCATTTCATTTGTTTTTCATCTTACAATTCATTGTGATAGATGATTTTTTTTTTTTTTATCCATGAACTTTAATAGATTATCTGGTAATTTGCTAATTTATATAATAAATTTACTTACGATAACCAATCAACTTGTGAATGCCGCGAAGATGCAACTTCAGTCGCCTGAAGTTACACTTGCCTAAAATTGCCAACTAATGCATGTATGATCTAATTGCAGGTGCTAATTTCAGTCAAGTGAAATTGAAGTTGCAACTTCTGCCGGATGTTAATTTCAGTCATGACATACGTATGCTTAGCTTTGAATATAAGATTTAAATATGGCTAGATATTTTCGTTAAGTTTGTATATTTAATTTTATACGATCTAAAAAAAAAAAGATTGATAATCTAATGTTACAAAACGGTTCGTAATTTTATTTATCAAAAAATTATATATTATTTAAAGGGCATCCTGGCCGGCCCGGTCGAAATTAATTTTGCCAGCCCTTGACCCACAAGTTTTATCGTCCCGTATCACTAGTTGATTTTGGTAAAAACTTAATTATTTTAAGCTTAATCTGTGTATAAATGTTTGATTTAAATTATTCAACCTTTATTTGTCTAACAGGTTATTTGTCTGACGGAAGTCCTCTATCTAAAATTTTTGATTTATTTTAAATATAGGTTCTATAAACGATTTACGGAATTTGTCCCAAATACTAAAATTTCAAAGTAATATAAATCAAAGTGATGCATTTTCAAATATTTAAATTTATATAATGCAAACGGGTTAATTTCTAAAAACTATAGTTTAATTATCATTTTTATAATTTTTTTATTTAGATCCGATTTTTAAAAATTTTAAAGCCTTTTTTTTTTTTTTTTTTTTCTTTAGGATTATGTTAGGATTTGGTGTTTGGGTTGTTAATAAAAGAATATAGATGGATTTTGTTAAAACTTGTATTTTCAAATCGAGACTCCAAATTTCAGCATCATCTTTGACATTTATTGCATCTAGTAGCATGTTAATATAGTATAACTATAATGTTATCTATATATTAAAATCTTACGATTTTACGCAGGACTACCTTTTTAAATCCCGCTAAATCGACCTAAAGCTCATGCAAAACTATATAACTTATCATATTGTCGATTATACAGATTAGTCAGGAATGATTAATTTTGCCTAAAATCGCTCAAAATTCTATTGATAAACCAGTAGCTCACATACTAAGTGTAATAAGTGAAATTGCTCAGGCACTAATTTTGCTATAGTACTAGTATAGCTAGTTAATATTATTGTTTTATGCCAGTCTAGCTCTGATGGAATAGACTCTCATTTTGGCAGATCTGCTGAATTTTGATTACGCGAATAATACGTATATCTATGATATATTGCACAGTTTGGTGTTAAAAACACGTGTAATGTGTGTTAAAAACACGTGTAATGACATAGATAATATAACATACATGAAGCATTTATTCACTTTGTTTAGAATGATATGAAACTAGAATTGATTGTAAAGGGCACATCAAAATTCGTGAAGAGTATTTAGTGGCAAGCATTTATGTTTAATGTAATTTACTAATTTTAACTCCATCTACTAATAAACTATCTTTATAAATAAATAAAATTATTAATGCAATGGTAAGTATTTATATTTTTTAATTTCTTAATTTCACAGATTAAAAACCTTTTAAATTCATGAGCTAAACGAATGATTAACACGAAAAGAAAGGTATTATTTAATGGTAAATAAATAATTGTTCTTGATTTGTGAATCTATTTTGCTGATTTAATTCCAATAATTTAATTATTTTTATGTCCATGAAGTGTTTAGCCGAATGAAGTAATTCA